AACTTTTTAAAACAAAAATAATTTTCAGTTAAGTGAAAATCAATATATATTTGTCTCGATATATTTTCGTACTCATCTAGTGCTTTTTATTAATGTTAGATGTGTGCGGAAAAGTTGAAGATATATGATTTCATGTTAATAAACAGTACCTGGCTAGGCGACGTGTTGATTAAATGATAACTATTGCTTTATTTGTCATACGTTCTATCCTTCATATGAACACACGTATACACATGACATGTAAAGTTTTGTAGACGTTTGAACAAAACAAGCAATACTAAGAACAAAAAGACGAATGGTTGCTAGTTTTTGGTTGAAAAAAAAGAATACAAAATGACTATCTTTCAATTATATAATTCGTAAAAAATTTGTCTTTTTTTTGAGAAGTTGTAAGTTTTCTACCACATTAATATGTGAAAAAGATCCCATGAATATGTGTTGGAGTAGCGATAATTATATTAATACTATCGACTTAATATGCAACAATAAGGAATACTACTACCACAAAAAGTAAAAGTTATCAGTGCAATTACACAAACATCCTGAGACTCACGAATAGAAGACTCCAATGAGATCCAAGCAACTCTTTAGATCAAACTAATAACAATTGCTTGTTAGAAAAAAAAATTGTGTTCTGATTAAATAAATAATATGACTAAAATAGTTTACGTTTTTTAGCTAATTCACAACAATTGAGAATTATAAGAAATCAATATGCTCGCTGCAAAACGAATCTGAAATTTAACGTACAATTATATTATTGATTTTAGTCATGTTTTTTTTCTCAATAAGACTGTCGCCTTATGTATATAAACGCATGTGGTTTGGATGAGACGCAAGCTGTTATTTTATCTATAAAGTCGCTTGATTAGCAACGTTAGAGATGATGAACAAAAGGAAGAAAAGCAATATTTTTTCTAGTATTTTCAAAGACAAGTTTTATTGATGTTTATTCAAACGAAAGAGAATCGGTAAAAACAGAGTTTTTTAAGTAAAACAAATTCCACTTGACAATAGATTCGAACAGTATATTTTGTCACACTTGATTTAGACTTGAAATATTCGTTCGAAAATTAAACATCTTATATAAAAACGACTAAATTTTTTTGTATGAGACTATTTCTTTCATTAAGAAGAGTTTTTTTATTAATATTTTTTTCTTCAGTATTATTTTTTATTTATGACTCGAGCATCATCAACATTTTCAGGAACAAAACATTTATTTCTGTTTTTCGATCAGTTGTATACATAATATATAGATAAACATATTTGAACATAATCATGTGAAGTAGAACGATAAAACGAAAGAATAACAAATATAGAAAGCAATAGATCTTTCAGAAAAATATGAGAATAAAAAGGATGCAGTATTTTGACTGTGAGCTATTTTTTATTAGCTTTAATGATTTATAAACTATCGAGAATTGAACAAACATGCTTTGCCAAAACTTTTTCCGTATGTCAAAATAATTCCGAGTAATTTCATTATTCAGACCGAGATAAATTTTGGTGTCACAAATTTTGTAATTTTCTATATGAATAAAAACTAATATTACTAATAATAAATTAATTTTTAATAGAACTATTTAATTGCATTTTTTTTGCAACACAATGTGGAATTTATTCAATTTTTACTTGCATGATAAAAATGAAAAATAGTAAATCTTAGGTGTTTCTGTATCTATGTGAAATAAATTTTATACTATTAATTTGCAGTGTACTTCAACAAAAACGTCCGACACCATTCGGTGTTTATTCATTCGATTCTAATATCTTTTTTTTGTAATATAACTCGAATCGCATAACATTAAGAATAAGAAAATTAGGAATCTTTTTTGTGCACTAATGCTTTCAACGCTGATATACACAAGCGCAGTCCATGTGAATTTCATACGTGATATGGAACGCCCTCTTTCATCTTTTAAGAGGCTATGTGTATTTTTATTGCAATGTCGATTTTGTGTGTGTAGTTTATCTCAACCAGAAAAGGTTTGCCAAGCTAACTTGTATATCCACGTATTCTAGGATGACTGATTTGTCTCATTCACTTTTTGAAGTACACATAACTCTTGGACTTAAGTCCGAGGTTTCCACATTATTTTTAGCAATATAATGAATACATTGACCATGGTACTTATGCAAGTAATTTCAAAAGAAATAAATAAAACAAGATAGTGTAAGGGTGGGTATGGATGATTGAAGACTGACTTTCACTCCCAAACCACATCCCACACCCACACCTACCATTTTTCCCACGCAATCTGAACCGAATCGAATCTAATTGAACTTGTGTGATTTGTTTTGGTCTCTGGTTCTTAATACAAAAGTAAAACAAATGAGTAATATATAAATTTCTATGAATGAAAAAAATTAATGAAATCTATTGTGAAGTGAGAATTAATATGAAAGAGAACAGAAAAGAACAAGTTGAGAATAATCTTCTTCTTTGTTAACTGATTACACGAATGTCCTTGAAAATGTCCTTAAATTAGTTGAAATGATTGAAAGAAGCTGCCTATGTATAACGATCGAAAACTAATTTTCGTTTGTATAGGTGTTAAGCAATAAAAATTTCTGTTGAAATTAATCAAAGATTTCTGACATAAGCCAGTCATTGTAATAGATTACGTAATTTAATATGATACAGTTCGACTGAACAGGAAGATATTAACAGAGTTCATTTTTTGGTTTATCAGCTTAGATAAACCAATAATCAATGGGTCGGAAAATTGTCGTCTAGCATATTATAAAACTTTAAAATATTTTTTCGTTGAAATCGCAATTAATCGTTAACTTTTATGAAAATCGCAATAAATCATCAAAATTTAGGCGATTTTGATGACATGGGTTATTATGGTGTTTATTAAACGATACGCAGAACACGTATTTCTTTAATGTCGCCTACTCAAATATGAAAGAAAAAAACCCAATGCAGAACACACAAGAAGGCAAACTGCCACGTGACGAGCTTGTACTGATAATCATCGAAAAATTTCAAATNCTATTGGATGGTCTTGAGGGATGTTATCGAACCGTAGTAGCTGACAACTTCTTTACCAGTATTCCACTTGCAAAATGTTTGTTAGAAGGTGATACGTATCTTATTGGAACGCTGAGAAGTAATCGTACGGGATCAGGCAGCGAAGTTGTTCAAAAAAAATCTTAGACGTGGCGAAGTTTACGGACTGCAGAATAAAGACGACGTAAAACTGATCATGTGGAAAGACAAAAAAGATGTCTTGATGGTATCCACAAGACCGTCGCATTCAACAACTGTGGTAGATACTGGGAATACCAATAGTAAAAATGAACGCATCATGAAGCCACAAGTTGTACTCGATTACAATGAAGGAAGATTAGGTAGTCATTTATTTGGTCAGTTATCATCTTATTACACGTGTCTCTGAATATGTGTTGGAGTATCGATAATTATATTACTACTGTCGACTTAATATGCAATAATAAGGAATATTACTATCACAAAAAGTAAAACTTATTAGTGCAATTACACAAATATCATGAGACTCATGAATAGAAGACTCCAATGAGATCCAAGCAACTCTTTAGATCAGACTAATAACAATTGCTTGTTAAAAAAAATAGTGTTCTGAGTAAATAAATAATATGACTAAAATAGTTTACGTTTTTTAGCTAATTCACAGCAACTGAGAATTATAAGAAATCAATATGCTCACTGAAAAATGAGTCTAAAAATTAATATACAATTATATTATTGATTTTAGTCATGTTTTTTTTCTCAATAAGACTGTCGCATTATGCATATAAACGCGTGTGGTTTGGACGAGACGCAAGCTGTTATCTTATCTATAAAGTCGCTTGATTAACAACGTTAGAGATGATGGACAAAAGGAAGAAAAGCAATATATTTCTAGTATTTTCGAAGACAAGTTTTATTAATGTTTATTCAAACGAAAGAGAATGGGTAGAAACAGTTTTTCAAGTAAAATAAATTCCACTTGACAATAGATTCCAACAGTACATTTTGTCACACTTGATTTAAACTTGAAACATTCGTTCGAAAATTAAACATCTTATATAAAAACGACTAAATTTTTTCGTATGAGACTATTTCAGTCTTTCATTAAGAAGAGTTTTTTACATTAATATTTTTTTTCTTCAGTATTATTTTTTATTTATAACTCGAGCATCATCAACATCTTCAGCAACAAAACATTTATTTCTATTTTTCGATCAGTTGTATACATAATATATAGATAAACATATTTGAACATAATCATGTGAAGTAGAATGATAAAAGAAAAGAATAACAAATATAGAAAGCAATAGATCTTTCAGAAAAACACGAAAGAATAAAAAGGATACAGTTTTTGACTGTGAACTATTTTTTATTAGCTTTAATGATTTATAAACTATCGAGAATTGAACAAACATGCTTTGCCAAAACTTTTCCCGCATGTCAAAATAATTCTGAGTAATTTCATTATTCAGACTGAGATAAATTTGGTGTCACAGGTTTTAAGTTTTCTACATGAATAAAAACTAATATTACTGATAATAAATTAATTTTTAATAGAACTATTTAATTGCATTTTTTTGCAACACAATGTGAAATGTATTCAATTTTTACTTGCATGATAAAAAAGAAAAATAGTATTTCTTAGGTTTTTCTGTATTTATGTAAAATAAATTTTATACTATTAATTTGCAGTGTACTTCGACAAAAAAGTTCGACACAATTCGGTGTTTATTCATTGGATTTTAATATCTTTTTTTGTAATATAACTCGAATCGTATAACATTAAGAATAAGAAAATTAGGAATATTTTTTGTGTGCACTAATGCTTTTTCAACGCTGATATACACAAGCGCAGCGCATGTGAATTTCATACGTGATATGGAACGCCCTCTTTCATCTTTTAAGAGGCTATGTGTATTTTTATTGCAATGGCGATTTTGTGTGTGTACATGCAAGTGTGTGTAGCTTATCTCAACCGTTTTAAGCATTCCAACATTATTTCATGACATCAACGTCTACGGATATGTATTTAAAAAAAGTAAAACAGGAATTAATTAAATTATCAACAACAATTACTCAAGATGATTTAAAAGATATTGTTGGAAAAATTTCGGTAGGTTATCATTTACCACAAATTGCTATCCCCAGATTCATCCCTAAATCGTATCCACATTTGTGGATAATTAAGGAATTATGATTAATTCTGGTCACCAATTAGGGATTTTGATTTAGNATAGTCATTCAGTTTCTCGTCATATATTGCTTGCTTATGACGAATTGTATTCGGTCGAGTATTTTCATTGCAAATTAAAACCTTATTGGAAGCGCAATGAACTTCAAATAGAAGAAGTTTTAATAAAAGCCGAAGTCGAGTGTGTTTTAGTACGGAAGAAATGCCATAAATTCAATGAAATACTTCGCAAAGAATTGAGTGATGGTGATGGAACAAAATATTCAAAAGTAGCTGAGCTAGCTTTTCGTCAATGTTTATCAGCTCATTCTATCGTACAAGATGTTGATGGCACATTACTCATGTTCAGTAAAGAGAACAGTAGCAATTGTTGTATGAGAACAGTAGATGTAATCTATCCAGGTGCTCCATTCTTTCTTTATTTTAATCCAAGTCTACTCAAAGCGCAACTTGTACCCGTTCTTAATTATGCTGAAAGTACACATTGGAAATTTCCTTTTGCTCCTCATGATCTTGGGGTTTATCCACAAGCAAATGGACAAGCATACGGAGGAGTGGAACATTCCGAAGCATATCAAATGTCTGTTGAAGAATGTGGCATCATGATTCCTCTCACTGTTGCCATTTGTAAAATAGAAAATAAAACAGATTTAGTCGATCAACATTTTACGACGTTATTGAACTGGGTAAACTATCTATTAGATTTTGGTTTGAATCCAAAAAATCAACTATGTACAGATGACTTCACTGGACACATTGCACATAATGCAAATCTTTCATTAAAAGTCTTTCTGGCAATCGCAGCTTTTGCACAACTCTGGGACTTGAAAGCAGACAAAATGCAAGTAAAAATTTTTAATAAAATTGCACAAACCATGGCTTTCGAATGGCTGAAATTAGCTGACGATGGTGATCACTATCGACGTGCATTCGATAGAAAAGGAAGTTGGAGTCAAAAGTACAATCTTGTATGGCAACAATTTTTCGGCTTGAATCTGTTTTCAGCTAGCGTAGCATAGAAAGAGATTAAGCATTACTTGAAACATCAAAATTTATTTGATCTACCATTAGATAATCGAGCACATTATGCAAAAGCCGATTGGATTGTGTGGACGGCTTGTCTTGCAGAAAAGAAAGAAGTTTTTCAAGCTTTTGTTAATCCACTTTATGATTTTTTGAATGTTTCAGAAAGTAGAGTACCTTTTACCGATTTGTATGATACGAAAACAGGTGAACAAGTTGCATTTAAAGCACGTAGTGTGGTTGGTGGCGTATATTTACCACTGCTAATAACATGCTCATCTACTGATGGACATACATGAATCATTATGAAAAAATTGTAAGACTTCTTACAAGAACAAAAGTTAATTTGTTTATTTTTATGCACCAGATATTTATCATGTCAATAAATGATATAGATCTTAGTGAAACTTCTGTCATTGTAGATGTGGGGTGTGGTGGATATTTGTGTAGCTATATGAAAAACCCATATCCACACCCATATAGTAAATTTCTCAAATACAGATATTGAGGACAAGATTGGGTGTGCGTGTCGTGTACTTGTTGATGTCTCGTGTAGCCCAATGCAAAGAACCGCATACACACCTACACCCCACCCTTGTCCTAGGTTTGCACACTAAAAAATGACTAGCGACGAATAGTGTTGAACAAATAAAACTGAATCAGTACACGAGATAGAATGCCAAAATAGTTGACTTCGTTCAGTTTTTGACACTCTATCGGTTGATATATTAGACAAAATTTTTAGATGACTTTCAACCGAGCTAGGACATTCCACTTTTTAAAAGCGATTTTGATAATTTTTCAAAGAAATCAATGAGCACTCCACAGTTGGGTCGGCTTAAATTTCACCAATTGAACTAAATGCGCGGAAAATTTGGTTTGAATGGTTTGACACAATACTGATTCAGATGGACATGCCAAAACAACAAGTTAAAATTTGATCAGGGATTCGGTTACTAGCATGATGCTCTATAGTTCCATAGCAACTCTCTTAAGAGAGATCTTCGTGCAATTTACATGTTGGACAGTAATACTCGTTTCTCGAAGCTTCGTCCACGAAACCTCTACCATCAATGTATTTCTCGTAGGAGCCATTAATTTGATAAGGCCGCATATCTAAAGAGAAAGAAACGATGGGCTTTTGCTTGATAAATCTTGTCGTCACAAACACAAACCTGAACAGTTACAACACCGCAGTGTTGCCCATAGATTGCAGTCGTGTCCACACATCTTTTGTTTTGTTTCCTCTCGAAAATCGGCTTCATCTGGTGGTGCCATCTCAATAAGATCAACAATTTCAGTGTCATGCGACGTAGGACTCTTTGCTAGAATCTCTCTGAGATGAACAATACTCAAACCACGCTTTGTTCGTTTTTTGTTCGTAATCAGAAACTCAGTACCAGGCAGTAGAAGAACTTCTTCATCGTTCGGTGAAGAATACGAATAGCTTTGAATCGATTTGCCACTAATACATTCAATATAGAAAAGTGTTCTTTGACTACTTTTCCCCAAGAAATCTTCTCTGTTCAACACATCCAGTGATCGTGTGCAGGAACTAAAGCCCCACCACGTGAGTTTTTTTCCTTTTATGAAGTTACTTGAAATATTACAGTTAACACCGCGATAGATAAGACCACTGAACGATGGTAATTTTTCTAAGCCTTCAATTAGAAGTTTTAAATAGGGTAATAACGGTTTCAATTCACTACGATCTGCCTGACGAAGTGTAGAGTTCAGTACATAAAAAAGACTTTCTTGTTCTGTCTTTGACTCTATTGTATAAATTTGAATCGCTGCACTTTCATCTACGGTAAGACTATAAAGATCATCTTCTTGGGAGCATTGCTTTGTAGCGAAAGAAACTTTGTTTTGAATGTCACCATCGATGTTGAATGCTTTGTGTTTTTGTATGGAAACGATTGCTTCTTCGAGTGAAGGTTGTACCAACTGTCGATAGCCTTTAATCGGTGATAATTTATCACCAGTTTCACGCATAAGATCGAAGAAACGAGAACGACAAGATAAAGTTGATGCTGCTGCTACTGCTGTTGTCATAATCGAAAACGTCTTTCAAACGTAGAAAAAAAGGAAAAAAACAGTCAATAAATAGAGAGAAGCTTTTTGAAAGAAAAGAAAAGTAATTGTGAAATTGTAATGTTGCAATTCAGTTGACACATTAGTTGTGCAAGAACTATAGAAAGAAAACGCAAGTATTCGCTTACTTATGCCTCTTTTAAATTCGAGACAAGCAAAGAACAGAACGAAAAAAGCTATCTCTTCACTGTATACAGCAGTATAGCCTCGAAAAATAATGAATGTAGAGATCTCAAACGTAACTACAATATGAAAATTTTCTTCCAGAAACAGACAGAGTCTCATCGTAGAATGTACGCAGCCAACAATGCATTGGCTCATCCGGCAGTAGATACCAACTTGTTCCTCTTGCTTCGAGATTAATTCGATTACGAAAATCACTCTTCAGGAAGCAGGAAGTTTTTCTTTATTGAATCCAAAGATAATTTCTTGACTTCCATACTATAATATTTCCATTACGAAACGACTTATATTCCACTTGGAGGAAAAAGTGGCGATGAATACGATTTGGAACCCTGTGCAACAGTGCTCTATGGTTCTCTTCGTCACACGTATGGGCCAACAGAAAAGTAGGATATAGTTGATGTTGTATTGACAGTCTCGATCCGAGAACGAAGTTATCAAACTTTTAGAATATACAAGAGAAACGACTCAGATATATACTCATTCATTCAGTCTCCATTCATATCTATTCAAGTAAAAATTACCTTTTCTCACTGTCAAATGCTATGAACTCGGCATATATATAACAGCAAATAAACCATTCTAACGGATGAATGACGAACAAAAATGTTCAAATTTATGATTGATAAAATCTCATTTCCCTAATGGCTCAATATTGAGCTGAGTGTGGATAGAAGGGATTCAAAGATCAAAAACTGCCCCTTTTTATTAAGTTCGCAAAGACATTTACAGAACTTTTCCTTTCTCGTAGAAAACATATCTATACCCACCTTTACAACGGCACTTGTTCTTCACAAACATGGAACTATCCTATGAACTTTTCATAATCCTACTCTGGTCCCATATACAGCATTACAGAAGCATCGGCAGGGTGTGGGTGTGAAATATTGAAAGTATTTTCTTCATTCACACCAAGCTTTCAAAAAGTTTCATAAGTGTGTCCATCTGCTTACCAAGGGCACAGTTCTATCTTATTTTCATTAGAAGACAATGATTTCTTATGCCTGAAAGATGCTGCTCAAACTTATTCATTTCTGAATGAAGTGTTTGAGCAAAAAAATTATTTATTCTAATAGAATTCAAAATTTTACTGATCTAAACTAATAGAAATGATCATAAATTTGAATAATAGTCAATGAATTATCAGCTTCAAATTGAGCACATTCGCGTATTAATGTAAGTAAATGTCTAAGTTTAACACGTAAAATAATACGTGTTTGACTTTGATCAAGTGGACTTTTATATTCAAATATAATATCCATATTAGATCGTTGTTTTAACCATAAAAGACGTTCATTATCATTGTTATTAATGGCTAATTCAATTTGAATTTGTTCTTTTTGTTCTGATACTGATAAAAGATTAAATTTTGTTGAATGTAAGGCAATTTTTTTTAATATTGAATTAAATACTTGATGTCTTGGTACTCGTATAGCATATAAACGATTTTCTATTAATATTTGTATATCATCAATTCTTTCATCAATAGATTCTTTAAAATTAAAATCTTCATTATTTTCATCAATTTTTTCAATAATTAATTGTTCATATTCAGGTCCAAATTGAGCAGCAGGTACAGCTCGAATAAGAAATGAAATAAAAGATAATTGTAAAAATGCCATAGATAAAAACGTACCAACAGCAACATTCATTAGAAATGCAGGTGATACAAAAAGTGCTTTTATTAAACCAAATTTTTTTATAGCAAAATCAGTTTCAGTAAAACTTAATGACCAATAAATTGAAAGATATTTCATATAAGGAAAATAATAAAAGGGCGTATGATTTAAATATTGTCCAAATTCCATTATAATACGAACAACTAACCATTCCAAGGGACGAAAATAATTTGATTCGTGATAAGCAGATATTTTCGTATAAGTTTTATTTTCAATTATTTCATTCATATCATTAGTATTGAAATATTGTGTTTCCGGTTTTCGAACAACAATCATAATATCATCTGTTGGATCATCTTCTTGCTCATCATAAATGAAAGTATCTTGAAAACCTATTTGTCTTACACAAGAACGCCATTGTTCAATAGTACGAAATGCTCGTATTTCATTTGTTTCTAATTTATAATCAACATCCGTAACGACATTAAATACCATATGAGCAACATCTAATAATGGTTTAAGTTGTTCATATGCATGATGTTCACGAAATAGAAATAAACCATTTGGACGAAGAATTCGATAGATCATTTTTAAAAATATATCAAGTTGATCCTGTGGTAAATGATGTAAACCCATATAACAAACAACAAGATCAATTGATTCACTAGGAATAGGAACGTCAGTTAGATTTGAAAAATTATAAGGAATAAAATTGCCAATAGAAAATAAACTATTTCGTTCAATAATATCTGTCAAACGTTGACGTTCATTAACAATATAAACACGACCATCTTTTATTTTTAATATTTGACGTAATTCTTTAATACATCGACCACCATCACCAATACTTACTATATCCCGAATCTACATATTAGAGAAAAATTTAAGAGTCTGGAAAGTATTACAGCATAATTAAATTTCTTGAAGTTCAGAAAACTATCTTTTCTCTTTCATGTCAAAAAGATTTTACTCGAAGGCTCAAAATACAGATCACGTAATGCCCTATAAAGACTGAGTATCTTTAGCATGACAATTCATCATGAAGTAGCTTTTAATTTCGAATATTTTCAATCATTCGCCTTGAAAATTTTTTCCAATAAGTTTTCTATTTTAATCAAGTATTTCTTAAAAATTTTAATTATTATAGCCATCGGTAGAACGAAGATCTATGAGAAGATTTTCTCGGATAATGGAAACATCGTTGCGTGCCAGGATCATATCATATCGGAGTCTCCTATTTTTGACGCAGTAAAGGTACGTGAAAGTTTATTTGTCAATAAAAGGATACACATTAAAGCTATATTGAATATAAAAAGTGTTGACTTGATTCTTTAGAGAGGCAGATTGTAGTCGATTTTACGAATTTTCCAAAACCAACATGATCAAAACAAAAGACATCGACAACAAGTAAGCATTAAACTTTACCAAAATCCTTCTCTCGTTTTATGACGTAACAACATTAGAGTTTTCGTCGTTTTATGCCGTTTATGATGTCGTCTTCTTGAACTTGGGAAGACGAAATATAATACTTGGCATGTATTTTAAACGTAAAAAGGTTAGTTTTTTCTCTTGTAACATTAAGGATGTTCGCTATTTCTTCTCTTTGGATTTCATTTGACATGACATGAAACTCGATGTATATTTTTTTTACAGTTATTTTTGTATTTTTTTCTTAAAACTTTAAGTGATAATACAATAGTAACGAATGAACACGTCTTGTTTGACGTATAGTAAACGCTACATATAAACATCAAGAATATGATGCTGAAGATCAAGGAAAAAAATGCACCTAAAATAAACAATCAGGGCAAGAATGTCAATTAGTATTATGATTCGTTGAAATAAAAAGCACTTCAACAAATCATAAAATGACTTGTTAATTGTAATTGATATTTTTCTTATTCAATATTAAATAATAGTTCTACGATGTTCAATGTGTCATATTTTCTAACGAAATTTATGAAAAAGAATAAAATAAATATCATATTACCTTTCCACAATATCCTAAATGTTTGAAAATAGTTATTTGTTGTCTTAACATATCATTAATTTGTAATCTAAGTTGTCGAAGTTGTTTAACAATAGCAAAAATTTTTCGTGTAAAAGCAAATTGCCTTGTTTTTAAAGCATTTTGTAATTCTTGATAAATATCATTATCATTTTTATTATTTGGATTTCTAACAGCTCGATTAACATAATTAAAAATGACATGAACAGGTTCAGCATTAAAAACTGTTCGAAGAAATTTTCTAAATTTTTCTCGTAAAATATCGTTAGAAATAACTAAATAAAATGAATTTGTTCGACGTTGTTCAACAATTTGAAATCGATCTGTTGTTAATTTAATTTCATTGATTCGATTTGTAATCATTGAAAATTCTTTTTTCGGTCGATAATATTCATACCAATCATTTGAAAATAATCCAATTGAATCATACACACGTTTTTTATCAAGAAATTCTTCAAACATTGGATATGCTTGTAGGATTTGTTGATAGGAATAATGTTGTCGATAAGGAAGATAAAATACTCCTCGACATTGAAAAGCTAATTGAATTAATGTTTGATGAATAGTTTTAACTTCATTATCACCTAATTCATTTCGTTTCATACGAAAATAAAAAACAAATGCATATGAATCATTTTGTTTTGTATATGAAAGAAATGTTAATTGATCTCGTTTAACAAAACGTATTGTTAAATTTAATAGAAAAAGATATTGATATTTTTTTTGAAGAATTTCTTTTAATTTCTCATACCATTGATGAAAATATTCTTTTGGTATAAAATATTCTTGTAATACGAATGTATCATCATAATATGTTAAAGGTTGATATAAAAGTGCCATTGGTTTAGCTGATTCATACATAGTTGTATTACGATCACTTGAATATGTTAAATCAAGTGGACGAGCAAGCATTTTTTCTAATGCAAAACGTACACGTTTAAATGGATGACTTTGTGCAACATATGTATAGATTAAATGATGACGTGGATGCATTACACGTGCTTCATCACTTAAATCGGCAACAGTACCAAATGTTCCTGATTCTTGACGAAATATAAACAATAAAATATTATTTGGACGAATAAGATCAACACGAGCAATTTTTATTTCTACCGTTTTATCATTAAGACATTGTTCATAATAGTTAGAAAATTGATCTGACTAAAAATTAAAATACTTTTTTTTATATAATTTAATATTATACAATATAAATTCTTTGTTTCAAAAATTTAAGTTTTCATATGTTAAACTATAACTCGAAAGTCTTAGTACAATATATTCGCACAAAGACAACTGTTTAGAACTAAAACGGTCAATTAATAGCAGAGCCGAACAAAGTAAATAGCGGTTTTGCCACTATTCTTGTTTTGTGTCTTCAAGCAACTTCAACTCAATATTACAGAATTCTGTACAAAATGAGATATTAAAATAAGCAAAATCTCATACATGCGTTTCTATTAAAGAACTAATTTCTATGGAAATCGGAATTACTAAAAAAATACTTTTAAAAGTACAAAAGTAAACACCACGCTTTGTAGAGCGAAGTTTACCCCACAAAACTCCTTTGCATTCTATTTTTGATCGGTTTCAATTGAAATACAAAATTAATTAAAATAGTATTCTGTACAATAAATATTTTGGACCTATTGAAAAAATCTGAACATAGTTTTAGATTTCTATCGAACATATTTTCATCAGATTTTAAACTTATTCAAATGAAGATTAGAGACGAGCAGAAACATCTCTAGATTGAAATCACGATGCTAAACAAAATTTATCATTTATGTCTATGATAAAATTATTCTCATATTAGTTCATCGTTGCTTTTTGTCTTTTTNAATGTTGAAAAAGAAACAAAAATTGAATTAACGAAGAATCTAACGATGAGGATGTTTTTATCGAACGAATGCAATTCAAAACGCATATATATAGGATTGTCGAGGATTCTACGCGCTATCCAAATATGTAATCATTAATCAAGTCTAATATGTTCATTTGTAAACATAATGATTGAAGTTTATGCTCTCAATAGTGCTGACGAGGAAGATTCTGGGATGTTCATAAGAGGAATAATTGTTGGTTATCAATGTTTTGTTGATAGAAAGCTGAAATAAAAATAAAATTGGAGTTATCAACGATTCAGGATCGCCTCCTACGCATGATGAGCAAGATTTGGGCCTTTTTATAGTTGAGAGGTTCGGTTGACATCTATCAATCACGCCGTCTGTTAGTTGAACAAAGCAAAAATATCTGACGATTGCTTATCATGAATAATTCAACTAAATGCACGATGAAAAATGAATGTTGAAATATGTAGCGAAAAGAGTGAACCATTCCGTCTCCGGCATGCCTCACAGTTCTTAACAGATCGATAAAAAAAAGTCTTTCAGTGTCATAAGTGTAATACACAGGTGTTTCTGTAGACTAATTTGTCTGTCTCTCGCAGAAAATATAATCAAACTGAACAGGGTTCGAGTTAATAAGTGCAACGAAGCAATCATATTTCACATTTTAGTATCGTACGAATTATGAAAAACGTTTTTCATCATGTGTTGCAAAAGTGAAAGCAAGTTATTCACAATAGCTAGTTCAAAGACAAAGAGAGACATACCCCTCTCAGTCTAAGAAACTACTACTTGAAAACGCGGTTCGAGCTGATATAAAGAAGCGTCCTATCGCAATTGAGCTCAGTCTTCTTTTTACTCATTTGCTTGTCGAAACCAATCCCATGGGGAAACATGAACGGCACTGATTTTCTTTCGACGAAAGTCTTTGTGGGTACGGGCAGCGCTATTTGTTAGCTTTGGAAGAATGACAGAGCCAGAATCCTGTTGGTTTTCTACTGTATCGATAACTATTCTTGAATGAGCACGCCTTTGCCTAACAGCATCGACCAGGTTCGATGATTGCCATCTCGATGATGAATACATGTATTTTTGAGTTTCATTCAGTTTTTCAAGTCCAGACGTCGCACGGTCCGACAAAAAATATAACCATTCAGCAGTACAAGTTATTAACTTCTGTGCGTAAATATATTGGGTCCACTGCATGGGAATTCGACTATAACCATAATAGGCGCCTGCGAGTTGACCGTAGATAATTGCTATATTTTTCATATCATGATTGAGACTAATGGCAGCGACTACACCTTTTTGAAAAGAATTATTATCATTCCCGAAGGCCCACAAGGCTGCTTCGAGCGTCTGAATAATATCATTCGTAGGACGAATATCATTTTTAGAATCACTTCGTTGTTTATACGATCCTAGCGCTACAGTACGCACGTTTGGATGAAGATCTTTCCAATCAAACCAATCTCGATGATCATCATAAAATCGATGACTGAGTAATGCTTCTTTGGATTCACCGCGAACAGCTGCAGTAATTAGTGCTCCAAAATATCTACACACATCGACTATTCTATCATCGCCATGGGTAAGACGTGCCGATAATCCTGAAAGTTCAACAGCGACTGATGGTGTTCGATAATAGAGCAATGGTATAGGAGCAAGACGTGCAAGTGCTGCACTTCCATTAACACCTTTGCGGCTACAGTTCACATCAAATCCTACTGATCGATAAATTGCATCGCTAGATAAACTGTCGAGCTTATCTTCCGTAATATAACCATAGAATCTATTTAGATCAGTCTGACGACGGCAAAATTCTTCAAGCGAATCCCGCATAACATTGTCAATATCGAGGCAGCGTCCTGTCGCTGACAAGTATCCATATTTATACCACCATTTATAGCGAACTAACTGATCATAGGGATTAAAAGTACGTTGAGTGATCAGCGAAGAAGCAAGACAGAGAGCCATCGATGTATTACCAGTCCATTGATTCGTTTGGAGTTTAGATTTTCTTCCAGATGTTTTGCCATGAGTTGGATCGTCGGTATGCTCAGTACTGACCTCCTGCACATCGCCTACTACTAGACCAACAAGGGATCCTTTAATACGATCAAGAGTCGTGCAGTTCATACGATCCAAATATGGTGATTTACATTCAATATTCTCCGGAAGTGTTCTGTCTGATGGAGCTGGAAAATGGAACATATTATGGTGATAATAAGTTCACAGCAGAGGAAAGATACAGATTGATTCGGAGTAGTCGACGTTTTGCTTGCACGTAATACTTCTGCTCGTGGCCACCTTTCTTCGGTAATACTAATAATCAAGATTTATGTTGATATGCGAATTTATCGTCTAAAAAGACAAAGAGGTAACATAGATTGAAAGTTAATTAGTTTATACTCGATTATTTTTGTGCTAATACTTAAATTTCAAATATTAATCTAGTGCACAATCGTATTTGCCATTTTGACTGCTACAAACTACTATATGTCTGCGAATAAATAGAGTTTTATTCAAACAATTAGTTGGATGTTTGAAATAAGTGTAGGTTTGCTGCGAGAAAATACTTTTTTTTTTATTATTGATGTTGACTAGTGTAATTAGCAAAACTAAAGAGTGAGACTCGAATGATGTTTCTAGCAGAAAAGGTCTACAGAATAAGATTATGTTTTCACATAAAAATACAATATAATCGTTATTTATGTAGTTTGATTCAGGAAAAGAACTGTTCAAAGTTTCGCTAGTCGAAAAATGAATCTCACCGGAATGTCAATGTATAATAGAACACAAGAAAAATAATGATGTCAAAGAATATCGAATCAACTAAAATCAAGATTTCACCAGCCACTGCACCATCAAATGTTAGACAAAATCTTCCGAATCAATCATTTTACCTGTTACTCTTGGCGACTGTTTTTACAAACAACGTTGAGCTAATGCAAGTGTATAGAGTATGTGAAGAGAAAAGAGAGGTGAAGCCATGTCAATTCACTTCTAATGGCTCATGAAAAAATGATGTTATTGTTTGCAAATCGCTATCGTATCGAAGACAACATGCTTTCATCCATACATGTTCTTCTTGCGATCGAAAGAAATTCGATCATCCAAAACTCGCACACACTTATTCTTACCAAAGAGCAAGACTTGTTGTTCATGGATGTTGTTTTTTTCTACTGTTAGCATAACTGCTTACGATAGAAAAGAGAGAAATCATCGAAAAAAGAAAAACATCCATTCAAACAGAGAAGCCATGAAATCACTGCATCTTCGATTGAGTAAAATGCAGAGACTGTGCATTATTCCTCTAACTTACTTTGCAATGCTATGGACAGCAGATCGTATGACTGAAAGGAAACAAAAAATACATTCTAAACGGTGTGTTTATGTGTGTTACAGAATCAATGTCTACGTACTACTCCCCTTCCCACAATCACACTCGTAAATTTTTATAATATGACCTTCAGCACTTTTTTTTTGCGTATACGAAATCGTTAAATTTATATTCGGCGCGTTACCCATTATACTTAAGATTTCTCATGGCTAGATAGCAAATTTTCTTTACAATCAGCGTCCTTCATTTGCGATTAATATTCCTTCCTGTGTCGTATCACTATGATGCTATGGAGTGCGATGCACAAAGAGAATTGAGATAGGGTGCTATGAATGTGGTGTTGGATTTCTCTACATAGAAAATGAGAGAACGATTGAGAAGAATAGTATTGTGATCATCTTACAAACTGCGCAAGCATATGCATTCACGGTAGTAGTAAAACTATATAAGTATATTTTTATCACAATAACAACATTGAGAATGGTGCCAGCAAGTAAATCGGTATGATTCTATGCTATTGCGTTCGCGAATACATTAATTTGAGCACAACCAGAACTGTTACAGATCTCGAAAAAGTTCACATTACCTAATTTTCGTTAGTGAACAGAAGGACTTTAGTAGTCAGCCAAACGAACATCAAACTTATGCCATACTCTGATAATATACCTCACAATTCTATTTTTCAGCACAATTTTCTTTTTACTTAGCCGGTTTTAGATGCATTTGACATTGTTCACGGGTCACTTTTCAATGGATTATTATTAGTTTTTCGTAAAAAGACTTTTCGACATGCTTAAACGAAGAGAAGAAAACTAATATGAAGATGAATCTGGAACAAAATGTATGCGTTCACATTTCGTACGTCATAGTACATCTGTGCAAAGATATCATTCAATCAAAGATAAAAAAATTTTTAAAATGAACAGACAAGTCCGCTAATGTATAATAAATGGTCATTTTTTCCAGCATGTATATATATATATAACGGATTTTCTGATTTGATCTAAGTTTATTCAAAGTTCTTTTATATTGATCTCAATAAATCAATTGATATGAAATGTAATTTCTTTATAGAACAGAAAAGTTTGTTGGAAAAAAGAAATATCTGCTGCTGAAATAGTCATATTTTGCATTTTGTTATAATTACTGATATCTATGACATTTCATAAGGTATGTGAAGTCGCATATATTCTTAGGAGATTTTAGGTAAAGCAGACATTTTTTGGACTTTTGACAACTGCTGACCAACTTTCAGGACATTTTTCATTAGAAAAACTGATTTTCTTCACCGTTGTACTTTACAGCATAGCCCAAAAGTTTCTGAACCGATTGACAAAGTTATTTTTCAAAAAATTTTTGAAACTTGAATAAAAAAACAAACAAAGCTCTTAATTGATTCTAAAATGTCAATTGAGAAAGAATAGTAAGTGAGCTTCATTTCTTTTCCATAGGTTCGATCGCGACCACCGTTGTTACTGTGTATTTTTGTCGTCATTGTGCTTTACCTTCTGCAAGGTCTAACATTGGGCTTAGTTTATTCTGTGCCAGTCTATTTGGCTTCCTTCGGTGCCACGTGGAAGCAACAAGGAACATTATCTTTCGCCATGTATCCATTCAGCTTGAAACTACTATGGGCTCCTATGATCGATACATTTTACATTCGTTGGTTGGGTCGACGAAAAACCTGGTTACTACCCGTTCAGATTCTGCTCGGTTTGGTGTTGATTATTCTTTCATTTCATATTGATGTATTGCTCGTTCAACTGCGTATTATTGAACTGACCATCATCTTCTTTTGTGTCATTTTTCTCACAGCTACACAAGACATTTGTGTCGACGGATGGGCATTGACTTTATTCGCTGGTTCGAATATTATTTGGCAGTCAGTGTCACAGATGATTGGACAAACATTTGGTAGTTTTCTTGGTTCGTCAATTCTTCTTACATTCGAATCAGCCAATATGACCAATCGATTGATTCGCCAGCCACTGGGCATTGCTATTCAGCCGTATGGACTCTTTGGTTTGGCTAATTTTGTGCGATTTTGGGGTGTGGTCTCTCTATTTTTGCCTTTTGCCATTTTGGTTCTCTTTCGAGAACAACAAAGTGCCAATGCAAATGACCATGATCAAAGTGAAGATCGCTTGAGTCTACTTGACACTTATTTGTCCATTGTCAGATTGTTCAAGAAGAAGTGCTTTCGTCAGCTTAGCTTTCTTCTTATTAGCTCTCATTTAGGCTATATAGCTACCTCTTATATGACCAGTCTCACATTGATCAGGTTAGTAAATAACATTTTTTGACGTACATTAGAATCGGGATTACATCTCACAGTAAACACTAAGTTTCCCATCTAGTTTTATCGAGCCATCATTTGGCATAGTATTGAGCTTTTTTAAGACACACAGGAAACCAAAGCCGGTTGAAATAAGTCAAGAGATAGAATCGAAATTTTTGTTTCGAAAATCGCTTAGGCCACGTGATCTTACAATACATTCATTGAACTTCCCGACATTTCGATTCAATAGAGTAAGTTTTCTTTTCAATTACAAAAGAATATTCACATTTCCATGTGTTTCACACTTTTACGAAAACAAATAAACAACTGAATATATTCGCCTATATGCGTTTGTTCATTTTTGTTTTAAGCCGTGGCTTGATCACACGAGACATATTGGGTTTGGTTATGATGCCTCTTATGATAGTGAAAATTAGCGTACCTCTTCTTCTCATGCAAACTTCTCGTCCATTGATCTTCTTCGCTCGGTCCTATATTCCTCGACTTATTTTATGTGTATTCATCGCCATTTTTATTTTCTTTGGATATCGTCTATATTCGTATCCGATCGTCTTCTATTTTCTACTCTTTGTTCTTTTTGGCCTCGATTATGCTTTTATTTATGCGCAAGGTGCAGCACGTGGTGGATTCTATGCTCAGATCAGTGATGTACGGATCGGTGGCACATATTATACATTACTCGCATCTCTAGGCAATGTTGGCCAAGCTGTGCCCTCCAGTATCGTTCTCTATACTGCCAACTGGTTTCCCAAAGAACAGGCCTATTTCATTGAGGTAGGTATTTGTCTTATGCTGGGCTTGGTTTGGTTTACAATTGCATGGCGACCCATGCACAAATTACAAGCGTTACCCATTGATGACTGGCATTTGACGACTGATAATCAAACACTCAATGGAAAGCATCATGATTATAAGATAACGACAACTGACAATAATAAACAAGAATCGTCTACTATCACTACCAACGGGAAATCTTCAAGTTGGTTCTAGATTGATGCATTGACGATTTTCTTAATTCTTCAATATGAAACTCAAAACATTTATATTAAATAGAATATTATCTTCTTCCGTTATCTGTATCCTCACAATACACCCTTTGAACTTATTTATTGATGAAAATAAAAAATTAAGAGTTTTTTCTTCTTTCTGAATTGAATGTCGTATACGAAAGTGATGTTTAGCTTTTTTATGTGAAATAAAATTCGAAAACATATGACTGTAATAAGAAAGCTTGTTGATGCAGTCCCTTATCGAGCTCAAATCTAGAACTCACATTCAATTGTCATTAGGAGCACAGTGCAGACTGTAATAGTCCAGAAATTTCCTTCGAAAGTTCGTTTCAATTTTTTTCTAAATTTTTTCATCGTGTCGGTGCTCTTCATTCTTATCAAGCGGCCATGTGCTTCCAGTAGTTTTTGAATTGAAAGAATGGTTTGAACCATTCCACACACGTGTTCAAGCATTTTCGCTCAACGACATGTACTTTCAGCAATTGCTGTAATGTCACCTGACACATCCTGAAACGGTACCCATCATTCATCTCGCTGTGTGTCACGACATTAACAAAGCCGA